AGTATTTTTTCTACTTTTGAGAAGTACAGCTCGGTACTCAGTACAAGTACTTTCAGTACTGATGATGAGTACAGTTGGTACTTGTCACCAGTGCTAATTGTACTTGGAGCATAAAACTTGTATTCAGTCGATTTTCGACTTGGACCAAGTAAAAAAATTAGCTTTTCTCCAGAAACGCCTCGGTACTGAATACAAGTAGTTTTCCTACTTATCAGAAGTAATCTTTTTTTAGAGTGTACACGGAGAGAAATTCTTTAGAAAAATTCTAGTGCTATGTGCATATGTGCACACATGAACGGGAAAAATTTACGTGTTACTCAATAAAATTTCCAGTGCCGGCATTGGCAATCTATAATATCTCGAAAATTACAGGGGCAAAATAGGCCATCCTTTTTTAATTAATTTTTATCCACAAATTATGAAAATTACAGTTTTTTTCTAATCACTGATTTTGATAATTACATTTAGCATGATTTAATCGAATCTATTATGAATAGGGACTATGGAGTTATAACATCCATATTATTCTAACGCAACTGATGATCACCTCAAAAATTAAATTTTTGTAAAAGATATTAAATTTCCTTCTATCACTCGGTTACTTTCCCTCAAGTAAATCTGTTCGACTCCAAATATTCTCACATGGAACATAGTTCTTCGGCAGAGGAAATTGTTTCTCTGTGTGTTCTCCCGTCCCCGTATATAATTAACAATACAAACCGAATGTATTTTTCGCCCTCTCCTCTACCTACACCAGGACATTAATTCAATTTATCCCCAAACAATTTCACCATTTCCTTATCTCCCATACAGAAGCCCCACACAATTCACCTACAGCTGGAAATCCACCTAAAAATTTTTACTCCCCACATATCTCCCAGCCCTGCGATACGAAATCACTTGCTATCTGCAGCCGAGACACCCTCGACTTGTCCATGGAAAACTCTTTACGACCCTAGTCCAGCCGTAATGTCTGTCGTTGAATTCGCAAACGTGCCGCTGAGACCGCGTTCTCCCTCCATACGTATCGCCGTAAATACCGGTATCTGGTGTCGTAAAGTACGGCATTGGTTTTCCATGGCGGAGGGCCTCCACCGGGGCTGCAGAGTAATACCCGCGGCTAGTAGCGCTCTTCAGCCAGATAGGAGGGAAGCATCAGCAAAGGGAGGCAGAGGAGCAACCCAAAGCCGCGAAGGAGAATAGGATGAGGAGCGGCGGGTGG